GGAGGGGCCAACACTGAGGCTGTGGTCAGTGGCTTGGCTGAAACTAGTACAAGACACATTGCAACAACTTGACAAAGCTTCTATGACAACTGCTGTACGTGGATCCTGCCTTAAAGAGAGTTTACCTATAACAAACCCCATGCACTGTATCTATATAATGTTGTGACTCTGCCTGCTAGTGTTTGCAAGTCACGCATATTGAAACCAGTTGTTGTAATCTCCACTACATAACTTATAATGTGTTTGACTGTTTTAAATAGACTAACCCACAGAGTACATTAATCGCTGACAATGGATTATTCAACCCCGCTATCAGTAACGTGACAACATCTTCCAAACACTTAACCTGGACCATTTAGAGCAACCAAAGCAGCAGTTGCCTGAGAACACCATACAGAGGCAATTTTCCCCATTTTTGGATAAATGCCAGGGCTGTAGCTGTGTTGGAGACTGATGTCTCAAGCTGAAGGCACATGCCTAGCTCCTGAGTTTGTTCAGGGCTAAAATAGACAGATTTTTAAGGGAATCGAGGGTTATGGGGAAAAAGAAGAAAAGTGGAATTGAGGATTATCGGAATAGCTATGATATCATTGAATGACAATGGTTGGGACTGCTATGTCTTTCATTTTCATGGCTCTGTTGTGATTTGGTACAACTGGGAACTTACTAGATGATTTCAGAGGATAGTTAAGAGTCGAATGCATTGAGTCTGGAGTCAACTGCAGGCTCCACCAGTCCAGGCAGGCAGATTTCTCAAAGGACATTAGTGAGTCACAATCCAGTCATTTCATGGTCATTATTGCTTCTTAATTCCAGATTTTTGAAGTCATTGCAAATTCCCTCAGCTGCCATGGTCACATTTGAACTTATGCTCCAGGGTATTATCCTGAGCCTTTGGATAATCGAGAAAGATGACTATATTATCCATATCTCGGTGCCAGCCGAGGTGAATTTACTTGTGGAGAAACCATATCGCCATGACCACTTCTCCCTCTGATGCTGCAACACACAAAGGGAACAGTCTCCCAGTGATTGGGAGTGAATGATGTGCTGACAGTAGGAGCCAATATCTTCCCCCCAACACCCAGCACCACTCCCCGCAGTCTACCCATTTTCTGAATTCCATTAAACACTCAATCCCTCCACAAACCTGGAAGGAGGCAGTTGAAAGTAATTATTAACCCGCCTGCAAGTTGACTGATGCTCTTTATCACTGAAGTTTGGAACACAGGAACAGGAGTTGGCCACTCTGCCCATCTAGCTATCTATACATTTTAGGATAACCAAAGCTGATCAAGCACTTCAATGCCTTTTGCCCATATTAATGCCATAATCCTTTCCACCACTGGTAATCAGTCAATCTCTAAACGTACCCAATGACAGAGCTTCCTCTGCCCTCTGTGATCGAGAATTCCAAATTCATACGTGTGTGTGTGTGTGTGTCTGTGTATGTGTCTGTGTGTGTGTCTGTGTGTCTGTGTGTGTCTGTGTGTGTGTGTGTGTGTGTGTGTGTCTGTGTGTGTGTGTGTGTGTCTGTGTGTCTGTGTGCGCGTGCAGGCATGTATGTGTCTGTGTGTGTGTGTGTCTTTGTGTATGTGCACGTGTATGTATGTGCATGTATGTGTGTGCATGTTTTGTGCGTGCATCTTTGTGCACGTGTATGCGTGTGTATGCACATGTGCGTACGCATGTCTTTTTGTGCGTGCATCTGTTTGTACATGTGTGTATGCATGTGTGTGCACGTGTGCATGTTTTCTTGCACATGCATGTGCGTGTGCACATGTGTGAATGAGTGTGTGCGTGTGTGTGCGTGCATGGGAGTGTGTGTTTGCACGCGCGCGTGTGTGTGTGTGTGTGTGTATCTTCGGTTCATGAGGACAGTGTGGTTGAAAGTGACCATTCTTGAAGGTGGATGCTGACCAAGCTGACGAGCTGTTTACTCTGTGTTCTTCCACTGCACACAGGTAGCAGCTGAGCTACTGCTCTCTTCAAGATGACGTTTGGCACAGGCTGCACTGTAAATGTCGAGGGTGTAATTTCTTCAACAAAACAAGCATCCTTGGAGCTGTAACTAACAGCCTGGAGGAGGTGCATGCTGAAGCCCTGCAAATTTTTTTTTACAGAATCACAGAATTATTACGGTGCAAGAAGAGGCCTTTCAGCTCAGCATGTCTGCACTGGCCCTACTACTTAGTCTGGCTTAACTTTCTAGTGCCAATCTCCTGCCTTTTTCTGTATCCCTGAATAGCATTACTTTCCAAAGAAAGCCCATCAAGTGCCCTCTTGAATGCCTCCGTTGAAACTGTCTTCACCATATTTCTTACTCTCTTGTTGTCACGAGAGACTTATACATCAGCACTGCATGCCAGCTCAGCCAAAACTCTGCTCCTATGATGCTGCTTGGCCTGCTGTGTTCATCCAGCCCTGCACCTTGTTGTCTCGGATTCTCCAGCATCTGCAGTTCCTACTATCTCTGATTCCATTTTAACTCTCTCCTGCTGTCTAATATCCTCCCTTTATATTGATGCATATCCTCCTTTTCCCCACAGCCATCTATTTTCTTGCCCTTTTCAAGCGCATATCCAACTTCCTTTTTAAAATCATTACTGAATTTGCTTCCACTGACCTATCAGACATTGCATTCCAGACCATAACAACTCACTGCATAAAAAGATGTTTCCACATCCCCCTCTGGTACCTTCGTCAATAAATTTAAATCTGTTATATCCTCTTTTACTAAAGCTTCAGCCATCTCCTTTCTGAGCCAATTGATCTTTATGGAAATCCCTCTTCCAATCCATCACGATTATCTCTCTCGATTGCAGAGGTTTCAGTCACAGCTAAATTCCCCAAAGGACATATTTCCAGCATGTTATTTCTCACACTTTCTCTATTCTATATCTGTGTTATCATGGAATCCAGAGGCAGGCTATTCGGCCCATCGTGCTCCCAGTGCCACTCTCTTTGATCTTGGTTACAGAGATTTTGTTTTTGCTTTTCAAGCCGATCCCCTTCAGAAACTGGCATACCTGTGGCTCCAGACTCCCAGCAAAATGGTTGACTCTTGACTGCCCTCTGAAATGGCCAATCAGTTCAAGGGCAATTAGGAATGGGCTATAAATGCTGGCTTTGCCAGTGATGCCCATATCCTGAAAGAATAATGTTGAACTACACAACCCCACTACACATTCAGTCAGCAGATTATAACTCATCTCTCTATCAACAAAAAACATTTCCTCATCTCCCTCAAGTTTCCTGACCTGTCATCTAACCAGCTGCTCAGTAATTTCGGAGATAGTAGGAACTGCCGATGCTGGAGAATCTGAGATAACCAGGTATAGAGCTGGATGAACACAGCAGGCCAAGCAGCATCAGAGAAGCAGGAAAGCTGACGTTTCGGGTCTGGACCCTTCTTCAGAAAATCAGTAATTTGATGCTTTATCTTTATGTTTGATGTTCTCCTGAACTTCTTCAGTTACATATGAACGGTGGGACTGCCTCTTGGAAATTTTCTTTATTTTGGAATGTACTTATAGACAGCACAAAATGAGGACATTTGTACCATTGATTCCATGCTGGTCAATGAAGCTCTGACTTCACTAATTCCATTTTCCAATTTTTGGTCCATACTCCTGGGAGTTATGGCTTGGATCTTAACTACAAGACAGAATGCAGGAAGATACAGACAGCTTCGTGTAAAAACATTGTATAAAGACAACAATCTCCCCCTCAACGCCAGTGAAATGAAGCAGCTGGCCATCAACGCCCCTGTCTGCATCAATGGTGCTGAGGTGAAAGTGGTGGACAGCTTCAAGTTCCTTGGAATAAATATCACCGGCAATCTATCCTGGTCCATCCACGTTAATGCTACTGTTAAGAAAGTGCACCGATGCCTCTACTTCCTCAGAAGACGAAGGAAATTCAGCATTTCCACAATGGCTCTTATCAATTTTCATTGATGCACCGTAGAAAGCAGCCTATCCGGACGCACCACAGGACGCCATGGCAACAGCTCTGCACGAGACTGCAGGAAATTATCGAGAATTCTGAACACAGCCCAGTCCATCACGAGAATCAGCCTTCCATCCATTGACTCCTGTATTTCCCGCTGCCTAGGAAAAGCAGCCAACGTGATCAAAGACCCCTCCCACCCCGGTTATACTCTTTTTCACTCTCTTCCTTTAGGCAGAAGATACAAAAGTTTGAAAACATGTACCAACAGATTTAAGAGATAGTAGGAACTGCAGATGCTGGAGAATCTGAGATACCAAGGTGTAGAGCTGGATGAACACAGCAGGCCAAGCAGCATCAGAGGAGCAGGCCCGAAATGTCAGCCTTCTTGCTCCTCTGATGCTGCTTGGCCAACAGATTTAAGGACTGCTTCTTCCCTGCTGTTATTAGACTTATGAACAGATCTCTCATATATTAGCGTTGATCTTTCTCTGCACCTTCTCTGTAGCTGTAACAGTATATTTTGTATTCTGTTCTGTTACCCTGACATACTGATGTAAGGTATGATTTGCCTGGATAGCATTTCAAACAATATTTTTCACTGTATCTTGGTACATCTGCCAATAAATCAAATTGAATCGAATCAAATCAATGCTCATGTACAAACTGAAAAAAAGAGCCTTTTTGGCTCAGTACTCTATTGGCAACCAGAAGACCAAATGCAATAAGTTAGGCTTTATCCGCATTGAACGCTCCAAAAGTATAAAGATTTTTTTCAATCTCCATATGTACAAATGAAAAAGGTCATTTGTAGGGGATTTTATAGGATTATCCCACCTCTGGGCCTGAAGGTCTGGGTTCAAATCCCACCTCCCCAGTGTGTGTTGTGACAGGTTGATGAAAATAACTAAAAGACCACTCAATACTTTGAATCGGCTGTAGTCATTCAATACGATCATCGTTGATGTGATTTTAACCTCAACTCTACATTGCACCTGTTTTGCTCATCTCTGAACTCCTCAATTACAGGCCATCTCGAGCATACATACCACGTTCCGCTGATAGAGAACTTCCAGGATGTTGCTGAGCAACTCGACGCAAGCCTCTTCCTCTTCCCTTTTCTGAATCAGGTCCTTCAGTGTGGTGGTCATTATTGACAACAGGATAGCTCGACATTCTGTGAAAAGAAAGGTATGACAGCAAATAAGAATTTCTGTTCCTCTAATAACGAGTGTCATCAATCTCTAGGATCTTCAAGAGCTGTTGCAATGGCGCTATTCAATTCAAATCAATAGATGCAAAGCATTTACATTTCTCAAGTACCATCTATGGCATTCTACTTTCGTTATCATCAATGCTGTGACGTAGGTAATTTATCTAAAATACCCTGCTCTGAATGGCAATGTGATAATACTAGCTCTTCCGTATGTAAATGTTGATTGCGAAGTAAGTATTAAGGACAATACCCCTTTCCTAATGATCTAGCACAATGGGATTCACCTGACTGGGTAGATTATAGAATCACAGAATCCCTGCGGTGTGGAAACAGGCCATTCAGCCCATTGAGTCCACACCAACCCTCTGAACAGCATCCTACCAAGAGGTACCCCACTACCCTATCCCTGTCACCCTGCATTTCCCATGGCTAATCCACCCAGCCTGCACATTCCTGGACATTTTAGGCAATTTAGCACAGCCAATCACCTAGCATCTTTGGACGGTGGGAGGAAACCGGAACACACAGAGGAAACCCGGAATGCGGAGAAGGGGAAAATGTGCAAACTCCGCACAGACTGGAATCGAACCCGAGTTCCCGGCCCTCTGAGGCAACCAGATGGAAGGCCATGACTTAACATCTCATCCAACACCTCTGATAGTACAGTCCTTCTTCAAAATTGCACTGAGGCTGTTAGCCCAGGTTTAATGCAGAGGTGAAAAAGTGTTACCCAATAATATTGAACTTCAAAGGGACATTGGTGGAGTGAGCAGATAGGTGGGTAGTTGAAAATCAGTTCAGAGAAATGTGAGGTGATACATTTTGGGAGGTTAAAATAAAGTGCACAACTGTCAAAGAGAGTGAAGGATCACAGTGTATATGGGCATATTGGTGAAAAACTCATTAAAAGTGGACAGACAAGTTGAGACAGTGGTTAATAAAGCATATACCATCCTGGGCATTATTAATACGGCTATAGAGTACACCTCATAAAGAACTTGGGTAAGATGCTGGGGTATTGCATCCAGTTCTAGGTAACACACTTTAGAAAGGATGTGAAGGCACTGGAGAGAGTGAAGAAGACATTGATGAGAATGGTTACAGGGATGGAAAACATTTCCTTGGACAAAAGAATAGGCAGAGGAAATCCGACATATGCTTCTTAGAAAATGAGGCTAGGGAAATAATAATGGGAAACAAGGAAATGTGTAATTGAATTGAATAAATACTTTGCATCAGTCTTCACAGAAGACCAATTTAAGACTGAGATTAGGAAGAATTTCTTCTCACAGAGTCATAGAGCTGCAGAAACAGAAACAGACCCTTCAGTCCAACTTGCCCGAACTGACCAGATATCTAAAACTGATATAGTCCCTGAGGTTGTTGACTTGCTCGCCAAGCTAGATTGTTTTTGTTCAGATGTTTCATCACCATGCTAGGTGACATCATCAGTGGAGCGTCCGATGAAGCGATGTTATTCTACACCACTTGGAATTTATACTGTGCGGTCCGTTGTGGTGAGTACCGTCATTTCCGGTTTTGGTCTGTATGGGCTTGTATATGGGGTCCAATTCTATATGTTTGTTGATTGAAGTCTGGGTGGAGAGCCATGCCTCTAGGAATTCCCATGTGTGTCTATATTTGGCTTCGGCTACTATGGTTACCTTGTCCCAGTTAAACTGATGGCCTTCATTGTCTGAGTGTACAGGTATTAAGGAGAGTTCATCGTGCCATTTTGCTGCTACAAAAGTTTGAAAACATGTCCCAGCAGATTCAAGAACGGCTTCTTCCCTGCTGTTATCAAGCTTATGAATGGACCTCACGTATATTAGAGTTGATCTTTCGCTGCACTTTCTCTGTAGCTGTAACACTATATTCTGCATTCTGTTCCATTACCTTGATGTACTTATGTAGGGTATGATTTGTATGGGTAGCACACAATACAATATGTTTCGCTGTATCTCGTTACATGTGACAACAAAAAAAACAAATCAAAACAAAAACTAAACTGACCGTAAAGGAAAGAAAAGAGTGAGGGAGCACTGGCCAGGGTCCTGGGTAATATTATCCATCATTCAATGCTGTTAAAATAACATTATCTGTCAATGTCACATCAGCATTCATGAAATCTTGCTGTGCAGAAATTGCCTATTCTGCATTGAATTGGTGACTGCATAACAAAGGTATTGAATTGACCAGAAACCGCAAGTTAGAGTTATGAAGTCATAGAAGTCTACAGGTCAGAAAAAGGCTCTTCGGCCCATTGAGTCCATCCTGGTCAAAAATAATCACTTTATCCACCTGTCCCACTATCATAAGGGACCTTGGTGGACATATACACCAAGATCACTCTGATTATCAGTGCTTCCCAGGATCTCACCATCCATCCTGCATTCCCTTGCCTTGTTTGTCCTGCCCAAGTGTGTAACCTCACATTCAACCAGATTGAATTCCATTCATTCGTTCAACAAAGGAATGATACAAATTCTTTCTTTTATTCCTTTATGAAAATGCCAAGGATATTCCGCAAGCATCAATGTGATGTTAAAGATTTAAATTATCTCTTGAACCTTCACATAATCAGGAACGTTTTTCCTTATGCGAATACAGTCCATGTGACTGAGGTCTATGATCTTCGCATCATCTGCTGTATTCATTTTTAATGTTGACTATGTTAGCCCTTTGAAATCTCTTATTGTTAAAAAGGTGCAATTGCCACAAGATTATTATAGCTGAAAACTGCAAAGGAGCCAAAGCTACGAATCAGAGGCACTAGGATGTATTTTTCTAAATGATTTGAGCATTTAAAAAAAAATTTAAGTGTTTCACAGTGAGATTCCAGCAGGTGAATTCGGGCCAGCATGGATCTGGGACGAGATAGGAATGGAAACCTTCACAACAAAGCCAGCTAAATATAACAATACTGTGAGTTCCAGTGCTATTTCTTCTCAGCTTGCGCAGTGCTGTCAAGCACTGCAGGAATCTGGGTTCAGCTAAAAACCCATATCCTAATTTACACCACTTTCTGTTCAAACATCACAAACTACACGGCCACGCAGTTTACACACAGTGAGTCCCGGGAGCTTCCTGTTCCTTTTGCTTGCTTATTTGTGCATCAGAAATATTTAAAATAATGGTTTACCACAAAGGTGGGGACCCCTCAGAGTGTGGTTCCCCACTTGAATGAAGCAGGGCTTCCTATTTTTAACTGATCTCCGTGAGATCCATCGCTATTTAGAGTTAGCAGAGGGTATCCTAAAGATGGTTATGCTGTCACAGATGCTGCTGTCTAAAAACACCTCTGTCTCAATAAAGGTGTCCCGCAAGTGTTTCCACAGATTGTAACAGACATATAAACAACAGAGGTTTAAGGTGGGAGTGGAAAGATTTAAAAGGGACGTGAGGGGCAACTTTTTCACACAGAGGGTGGTGCACGGTATGGAATGAGCCACCAGAGGAAGTGGTAGAAGTGAATACAGTTACAACATTTAAAAGACATTTGGACAGGTCCATGGATAAGAAAGGTTTAGAGGGATATGGGTCAAACACAGGCAAATGAGCCTAGTTCAGTTTAAGAAACCTGGTCGGCATGGGTGAGTTGGGCCGAAGGGTCTGTTTCCATGTTGTTTTCCTCTATGACTCTAAGGCCAAGAAGGAATGACAAGTGAGGATATGGAGGTATGGAGGCCTTCTTTATCTCTGGCATTCATGTGTTCCAAGAGCCTGGCCTGGCTGTTGCGGAGACAACTGAGAAGATAGGAACAGTGGCATTCCTTTTAGCCTTGAGCCTATTCCATTCATTTACTGAAATAATGGCTGATCTGTAAACATTTCTCCATTGCCCTGAATCCTTTAATCCCTTCGCCAAGCTTCAGGATATTCCGTCGTTCCTAAATTGGCTTTCCCAGAGCCCAGGAGCCGCTAACTGTAATGAACTTTGTCTTAATTTGTTTTGTCATTCTGTATGACTTATGTCATTGATGTAGGTGCCATGATGGGGCAACTTATAAAACTTTTCACTATATTTTCCCTGTACAAGTACAGGTGGCAATAAATTTCTATTCTATTCTATTCCTTACTGCTGCTGACTCCGCTGGACTCCTACAAACTCTTTTCTTTTCATGACTGTACACAGCCCCATTCTCCGTGAGTATCTCTCTCACTCTTCCATCCTTTATTCACAGTCTCTTGCACATGACTGCCAATGTCACTGTCAACATCTCTTTATCATCTCCATCCTCGTTATTCTACAGTAAATGCGGTAACAAAACTGTACACTGCGCAGTCCCAGAAACTGATGCTGGAACAATTGTCAATTGTTGACTTTAGTTCTGAGATAGACTTTTGCTCAGCAAAGGGATTAAAGGATTCAGGGCAATGGAGAAATGTTTACAGATCAGCCATTATTTCAGTCAATGAATGGAATAGGCTTAAGGCTAAAAAGAATGCCACTGTTCCTATCTTCTCAGTTGTCTCCGCAAGCAAACCAACTCTTGACTCAGACTCTGGTGATAAAATCTCTTCCCTATTGTTTGCTGATATTCACCGTGTAAGGTCATGCATACAGAAGCAGGGAACTGCTGAGAGGTTGATACCTTTGGAACTATAACACAGTATGAACTAGGGGGAAGAGATACAATGGGTAACATGAAGGAAGGTATTTTTAATACAGCTAAGAGTACACAGTGAGAGAAAACTTCTCTTATCAACAAAAAGCCATCTTATCTCACACACTTTGCAGAGTTTCCATTACCGACTCCAGCCTCTGCAAGTGCATCTGGCACTGAAAAAATCAACAAAACCTTGACTCAGTGAGATTGCTGTTTATCTCCAAGGATTTCCTCTCATGGTTGAAAGCCTGTCAGCCATCTGCTGTAGTATTTCTCTCCCGTATTGAGGATTTACCTTGACCGGGCCAGTTTAATGCTGCTAATTTCCTTTTACAAAATTGTACTAGATGT